TGATTTACCTCAATCCCTAGATTTCTTTGGAGGGAAGGAGTCTTTTGTAATGCTATTTATTCTGAGGTCTCTGTCATAGAGTCAAGTTGAGATTGAAATCCTCTGATGACAAGAGAAGTAACTCCAAGTACACTGCAGCAGTTAGGATGATGTGTCTCGTATCATGCTTGAACTATGTTATATGCCAGAGGTCCTGAAACTTTGTGTATTAAGAATCATCTGGAGGCTCTCATTAAAAATGTTCCTCCTCCAGAGATTCTAGTCCAGTCCAGCAGGTTATATTTTTGTAATGAGTAATCCAGGTGATTTCCAATTAGGTAGTATGTGGAGAATAGTTTGAGAGATACTTCTGAGTGGAACTGAAGAAAGCCAGTAGAATATGAGAATGGCCAATACATAGATATACAAATTTACTTGATTGGTACTCAAAGAATTATATACTCAGATTATTATTATTATTATTATTATTTTTTTTTGAGACAGAGTCTCACTGTGTTGCCCAGGCTAGAGTGCCGTGGTGTCAGCCTAGCTCACAGCAACCTCAAACTCCTGGGCTCAAGCGATCCCCCTGCCTCAGCCTCCCGAGTAGCTGGGACTACAGGCTTGTGCCACCACGCCCGGCTAATTTTTCTATTTTTAGTAGAGACGGGGCTTCGCTCTTGCTCAGGCTGGTCTCGAACTCCTGAGCTCAAACAATCCGCCCGCCTCGGCCTCCCAGAGAGTTAGGATTACAGGCGTGAGCCACCGCGCCCGGCCATTATTATTTTTTTGAAACAGGGTTTCCCCATGTTGCCCAGGCTGGTCTCGAACTCGTGGGCTCAAGTGATCCTTCCACCTCAGCCTCCTGAGTTGCTGGGATTGCAGGCATGAACCACCACTCCTGGTTTCAGATTATTTTAAAAGTTGCTAGACTTCACATACTTTACTGCTTTTTTTTTTACAGTTCAATAATAAATAGTACTTGTTTTCCAGAGTATGTTTGGGAAACTTTAGTATTTGCAGATGCTCCAAGGAAAAAAGAGAGCTTGATTGAATAAGTCTGTGAAATGCTATATACTATATTCCATACTTAGAAATTTATACTGCTTATTATCTTAATAAGGTCGATTAGAAGTCCTGCAGTAAAAAACCTTGGATTTCATTGTTTCCCACCAAACTTTATATTCATGTGCCCTCTTTTGTTCCCCCTAATAATTCCTACTAATAATTTATGAACAAACTTGGGAAAATCTTGTTATTTTGTGGAATTAAAAAGAAATAGGGGTTGGGCATGGTGGCTTACACTCCCACGTGTAATCTTGGCACTTTAGGAGGCTGCAATGGAAGGATCACTTGAGGCCAGAAGTTCAAGACTAGCCTGGGGCAACATAGCAAGAGCCTCTTGTACAAAAAAATTTTAAAAATTAACCGAGTGCGGTGGTGTGTGTGCCTGTAGTCCCAGCTACTAGGGAGGTTGAGGTAGGAGGACTATTTGAGCCCAGGAGTTGGAGGTTGCAGTGAGCTGCGCTTGCGCCGCTGTATTCCAGCCTGGCGGCCAGAGTGAGACCCTGTCTCTAAAAAAGCAACAACAACAAAAAACCCCAAATAGAAATAGGGTATGTTTTTGTAATTCGGGAGCTTAAAATCTTGCTAGAATTTCAAGATTTGCACATGACGCTTTCAAGACGGTAAATGTATAATGCTAAGTCGAGTATAATTAAGAGCCAAAAATGTACTCTAGGGTTCCAGCTAGGAGGGGAAAATGTTCATTTAGGTTAGATTCTTCAGGAAGTTTTCATGACAAAAATGTGTCTTGAGATAGGTCTTGAAGGGTGAGTGATCAGATTTGAAGGAGTAATACTGGCATGGGCTATCTAAATTGGTGAAGTCGTTTCTAGGTATTACTTTGTGTATTCACAGATACACCTTAGTTTAGAACACATGATATTGCTTCCTCAGTAACTACTTCTTGAATATGTTATATAATAATGCTTTTCAAATTTTAATGTGAACGTGAATCACCTGGGGCTCTTTTTAAAAATGGTTTCTGATTCAGTAGGTGTGGAGGGTGGAGTCTGAGAATCCACATTTCTAATGAGCTCCTGAACAGATGATGCCCATGCTGTTTGGTCCACAGACCACATTTGGAGTAAGGAATGTCTTGGATTAGTAGTTGAGCTGGATGACCTTTAATGCACCCTTTAACCTCGGGAGTCTATAAATATCTTAGTGTGGATATCTGAGATAGTATAAAGAAAACTATATTATAAATGAAAGGACCAAAATTCTGGGTTTTTTTTTTTGCTCTAATTCTGTCATTCATTTGTTAGCCATGTAACCTTGGGCTAGTTAGGTAGTTTATCTTTGAGAGCTTTAGTATTAATATTTACTCTGTTAAAAAGTGGGATTTGAGAAAGCAAGGTCTTAGGGAATTGAAATAGTACAGTTTTTAAAAACAGTCATATGTTTAAGTATAGTAAGTATGTTTATTGATAAAGGATTACTACATGATTGAATGGCATCTTAAATGGTTTTTCCCTCTCTACTGAGATAATTTGGAAGTAGCTAACCAGCTTTTCTTAGGAACTTAATCTAACAAGTGCTTGTGTGTGTTACTAACGAACGTGTTTGTTACCCTTAATTATAGACACTCTTGTGTTTTAATTTCTTTATTTATTTTTTAAATTTTTTTGCATCTTTTGGCATCATGTTTTAATTTCTAATTGTTTTTCCTTTTGTGTCCTTTAGCACCAGTGTGGTCTTGTGGCTTTAAAACTAGTTCATGGTAAATTATAGTACAGAACAAAATTAGAAATTGTTTTGCTTGGGAAAAAATTTTTAGTAAGTGAATGCTATTTCTATAGAATACACTTGGACACCTTTAATCATATAAGTACTTCTTATGCTTGCTTGCTAATAGCTACATTTTGACTAATTACTTGTGTAATGTAGTTGTCTTGCTTTGGGAAAGCGTAGAAATGTGTAGTTATGAAATGGATAGTTTTTATATATTTTTCTTAAAAGAAATTTAAAAGAAAGAAATATTAAAAAGAAATTTGTAGCATAAAAGGAAACTAGATTTTCTCAAATATTTTTATATGGTAGCACATTGAAGATGATCATATATACCTTTGAAATTCTGATCTAGAATGTCAAGTGATACTCTATAAAGCATTAGCATATGAATTAAATATTCTGTAAAGAAAAGGTTAATCTTCCCTTACTTCTCTTCCCCATCCCTCCTAGCATCCAAGGAATTGGGAGGTGGAAGGGAGGGTGCTGTGCAGAGTCAGTGACCTTCCTGTAGTCCGAGGACATGGGGCTGGGGAGGGGGCATGTTAAAAGTATGATGGGGAAGAGGACTCTGGTTGAGGTTTGGTTGCATTGAACAAATAAATTAATTGAAAGAGCAAATAAATGTATTGAAGATGATGGAAGCTGGGTTTCTCACCTAAAAGGGTTTACAAACATAGAAGGGGAAAGGATAGAAATTAAAGGTGTGGGATTGAAATTAGAAGTGTTGGTGTAAGCCCTTTTCTTTTTCATTATTTATGCTCATATACAGAAATAGGTATAGATGTGTATGTTTACATGGATATATGAATATGTGTATGTATGTATTTCTTAGCTCTGTCTGCTTAGAGGGCGTAATAGCTGTGAAACCCCAGTAACAGTGAACACACCTAGTAGTGCCCATAACCAGGGCACCTTGGAGAAATAGCTAATCCTAGGTCCAGAGAGGGAAAAGTACAAAATGAGCCTAGGGAATTCTGGTGTTCCAGAATGCAAGGAAGTACTGAAAATGATGGGAATGTGTCAGAAGTTACAACAATCACCTTGAAGAGTCTCCCACTAGCCAAATCTCACATGATTTGAGTGACAAAATAAATAAGGAGAGTAAGGGATTATAACCTATAGAATAAAATAAGAATCCGTGAGTCCATACGGATATAAATATAAATGAATAAATGAGTGGGGGCGTCAGGGAAAGCTCTTCTTTAAAGTAAAAATTATAAAAGGACAGATGGACTTAGATAATCACCATCATAGTGATATTTGATAATGGTGAGCGTAGTCAATGAATGCTAAGGCTGTGGGTGGAGATTTGATGAGGAACAAGATATTGGTGAATTATCAGAATAATTCCCCATAATATATAATCAGATACAAAGGGAAAAATAATGACTTTACCGTGGAGAAACCTGGCAGACATCAACTTGACCAGGTGATCTGGGTTAACATCCCTAGGGATGGGGAGGATAGGTGTAGTAGTGTATACATAGCATCATTTTCTATATTCTTTCCAGGAATGTATGGCCTGAATCTTATTATGAGAAACATCAACTAGACCCAGATTGAGGAGTCATCCTAGAGAATGAAAGACCTGTACACTGTATAGCCAAGGGCATGAAAGAAAGATAGGGAAAGACTGAAGTATTGTTCTAGATTGAAGGATACTGAGGAGATCTGATAATTAAAAGCAATATGTGTTCCTGGATAGGATCCTGGACCTCAAAAAGAGAGAGACATTGTTGGGACATTTGGTAAAATTTGAATGTGTTTGTGGATTGGCTTTGTGTTATACCAATGTTGATTTCCTGATTGGGAGGATTGTATGGTGTTCATGTAGCAAAGTGTCCTTGTTTTGGGAGGTACATGTACTGGAGTATTTAGGAGGAGATGAGGCATCATGTCTTAGAAAGATACATATATAAGTGTGTGCGTATATATATGTATAAGTGTGTATATATGTGTACATACACATATACCAAATACCTTTTCTTGAAACTTTTTCAAAATAAAAACAAGAAACTAAACATACTTTTCTGATTATAAATTTAATATTTCTAACTTTCATGTTTCTATATTTATAGATTATTACATTTTGCTATATTTGTAGTGTGATTTATTCAGTAAATATTTATTGCTTGAAAAAATATCGTGCTTGATTAGTCAAGAATATTAGGAATTCTATTTGTCTTAATATGAATAATAAATACATTTTTAATGTTGTCTTTCAGAAAGCTGAAGTTGATGGTAGTTTAAGTGATAGCCACGTATCTCCTCCAGCCAAACGCACTTTGAAACAACCCGATTCTGTTTGCAAAGACAAATCAAAATCACGAAATACTGGTCAGCGAGAGGAATGGAACATATCAGCTGGACAGGCCAGGTGAGAAAGGAGAACTTTTTGATTGTTTTTTCATAAATTATTTGATGTGATTCAGGGCTGATATTAATGTTAATTTTCTAATTGGTAAAACAACTAGTTGTATAAATACTTATAAGTAAATTGTATTAAACTTACTTTATAATTTTTGTATGTAATTTTATATTCTCCAAATATGCTATATTTTTGTTTTATAAAGATATATGGTATGTAATAGAAAATATGATTATTAAAATAAGGATTTTGATAGGTCTTGAATATGCATTCATATTTATAATTGTGAAAGTTTAAATACAACATATAGTTAGAATTATAGTTTTTATTTGAAAATGAATAAAATCTCTTTATAAGGTATTGAATATTCCACTTGAATTGATATGCTAAAATATAATGAAATTTTGATTACTTTTTAAAGAAATCTTTTAATCCGTTTTCAACTTAAATTTTCATTTTGTCTGGTTCAGTATGTAAAATGTAATTTTAATCAGTTTCAAAGTAAATGGCAATTATTTAATGTAGCTAGGATAGGCATACACACATAGAAAAGATTTAAACGTTGAAATCAGAATGTTTAGCTTCTGTTTTCTTTAAAGTCTTTGATGTAGAAGTGCTGATGATGGGTGACTGCAAACAAAAGTAAGAAGGAGGTCTTTTGTTTTCTTCCCTTCTTCAAGTATATAAAAATGTTTTGATTTTTTATGTGTAGGTAAATTCTGGATACTGTTACTTTTTTTTTTTTTTTTTTTTGGAGACAGAGTCTCTCTGTTGCCCTGGGTAGAGTGCAGTGGTGTGTCATCACAGCTCACCCAACCTCAAACTCCTGGGCTCAAGCCATCCTCCTGCCTCAGCCTCCTGAGTAGCTGGGACTACAGGCATGGGCCACCATACCTGGCTAATTTTTTCTCTTTTTGGTAGAGAGAGGGTCTTGCTCTTGCTCAGGCTGGTCTGGAACTCTTGACCTCAAGTGATCCTCCCACCTCAGCCTCCCAGTGCTAGGATTACAGGCATGAGCCAGCTGCCTGCTGGCCTGGATACTATTACTCTTTAATGAAAAAAATCTTTGGAGTTTTATAGACTTTGACAAGCCTCGTACATTTACTAGTTCCTAAGGAGTCTGTACTTATTAAGAATATGTTCCATAAGAGGATGGAACTTCATTTTACATTTTTTTATGTTTTTTATTTTTCATTGTCTGGGAGCTAAGTAGAAAAATACATGAATACATACATACTATGATAATAGTCTGTTGATTTTTTTTTTTCTTCCCACACTCATACATCTTTGAGATCAAACAGGTCTGGATCATTATAATGACATTAATTAAAATGAGTACTACCATTTAATTACACTTTTAAACTTGATCTACCTGTTATAATCTGTATCCTGCATTTATTAAATGAGTGAATCAGAATTCTTTTTCTATATACATGTTCCTGAAAAAATATTCTTTTAGTGTTAAAATTTGACCTTTAACTGTAAGGTAATTTGAACAGTTTATTCAAGTGCGAGTATGTCATACATTAGATTTCCCATATCTTATCTACCCAGAAGGCCTTTATGTAAATTGATCTTGATCATCTCTTTCATATAAAAAGGCTTCAAAAATTTTGGGACTCGAGTGAGGGAGATAGTTATGGTTCCATTTAGGTATCTTAGAGTGTGATATTCCTTTTTTAAAAATATACTAATAAGTACATTTGAATAAAAAGCATAAATAATGAATACTAATAAATTTACTGTTTCTGCTTTGGCAGAAGGATAATGGTCACACAATTTAAAAAGTTTTTTGAGTTAATTCATCTAGACTTCTAGATGAGTAAGTGCTACACAATTAGAATCTTTTGGTGTTTTAGATGGCCTGAAAAGAAAATGCTATTTGACCTATTAGATTCAACAGGATTGAATTTTAAGGAAAATTTTTAGTTAAAAATATTTTAGATTTGAGATAGTGTAAATACAAAAATCAGGAATTATTTGGAGGCTTGTATTTGTTTTTATGTCATGAACCTGAGAATCCTGATTCCTTTATTTTGGTAACGTAAGCTCTAATGTGCATCTGAGGTAAAATTATTGAAATTCATCAGAAAAAAAGTGTTAAGAATAATAATTCATGTGGAATAAAATTGAATATAGATACAAATTAGTATTAGCTATGAAAAATAATGAGTTTTTTTTTTGTATTTTTGGGAGGCAGGGTGTTGTTCTATATTGCCTGGGTTAGAGTGCAGTGGCATCTTTGTAACTCACTGCAGCCTCAAACTCCTGGGCTCAGTCAAGTGATCCTCCTGTTTCATCCTCCCGAGTAGTTGGGACTACAGGTGTGTGCCATCACACTTGGCTAATTTTTTAAAAAATTTTTGTAGAGATAGGGTCTCACTATGTTATGCAGGCTGGTCTGAAACTCCTGACCTCAAGTGATCCTTCTTCCTCAGCCTCCCAAAGTGCTAGGATTTCAGGCATGAACCACTGCTTCTGGACTGAAAACTTAGTGAAAATTGTAAAGAACTTTGCAAAGACCCTAAATTCTTTAAAGAAATTGTTGTTGATTGGTGAAATACTTTTTCATTTTAGAGATGGGTATTTGGATGAAGATAGAGGTAAAAGTGGACCTAGAACTTCTGAGTCTTCATAAGTAATTTGAGATAGATTAAGAGTTATCTTTTGAGGAGAAATCTGGGTTTATGTCTTTGAATGCCTGTGTTTATCAGCATTTTTATGATTGATGTTATTTGTAAAATGAGGATTTTTTTTGATCAAAAACCTTTTCGAATATGTATTCTTTTTTATCTTTTAGGTAGGAATTCACAAATACACATCCTGACATCCTTTGAGTATAGAATCCCATTTCCTTGACTTCTGTCAGCTGATACTTATTTAGCCTCTAGACCCTAGTCTATTTAGTCATTTATCTCACCTGGGTGCTGTGTGTGGGCATGGGTGTGAGTGTGGTGTTGGGGGAGGCAGCCTGGAGAATGTGGCATGATTTATTGTCTCCAGAATAATAGAAAGGCATATACTCTAAGACACAGACAAATGAAATCTTTGATACGACTAACTTTACACTTAAATATGGCATGCTTGAAAATTTCCTTTTGTGATCAGGTGATGAGGAAGTAGTGAGGTAAGGCAGAAGTCTAACCACCTGTGTTGAACTGCTGAGGCACATTAGAATTGCTGGGTGGTAGTGGTTGAGTAAGGTCTGTCAGAATGGGGGTTTTTCTGAATTGAGATTTAGAACCCACATAAATCATTAACTGCCTTGGATTTATAAGGGAAATGGAGAATAAGTAATGATTTTTAAATCTGGTATTGTATTGGTGTGTGCCCCAGATAATTAAAGCTGTAGAAAATTCTAATGTAATAATCATCTAATGTAAAGTGAAATGGTCTCCATTTTTTTTTTTTTTGAGACAGAGTTTCACTGTGTTGCCCGGGCTAGAGTGCCGTGGCGTCAGCCTAGCTCACAGCAACCTCAAACTCGTGGGCTCAAGCAATCCTTCTGCCTCAGCCTCCCGAGTAGCTGGGACTACAGGCATGCGCCACCATGCCCGGCTAATTTTTTCTATATATTTTTAGTTGTCCAATTAATTTCTTTCTAATTTTAGTAGAGACTGGCGTCTCGCTCTTGCTCAGGCTGGTTTCAAACGCCTGAGCTCCAACAATCCGCCCGCCTCGGCCTCCCAGAGAGCTAGGATTACAGGTGTGAGCCACCGCGCCCGGCCTGAAGGAGCTTTCTTTTCATAAGGGGTTTAATGGACGATTCACTTAAGCAGTGAACATTTTGAGTGATTAACTTTTGGGAACATTGATACACAGGACTTTTTTTTTTAAACTCATGAAGTAAAAACAGCAGGGACTTTTAGGCTCATATGTCATAGTTTAGGCTGGCCAACCTTTAAAATCTCAATATTTTCTCCTTATATACCCACATATTCATGTTCTGTCTTCTTTTTATAAACAAGTGATAATGGTGAAATGTGACAGTAATCTATGACTGTAAGGTAATTGGAACAATTGAAGAACAAGTTTCTTTTTCCTTAGAACAGATCTTCCATTAGCAGCAAAATATAATAAAAGCTAAGTAAACATTATCTTTGTCAGAGCACACAAAAAGCTTACTGTGCTTGATGTTCCCACTGTTGAGAAAAGTTGTTTTCTTTTCTTTGCTTTTCTTAAGAGACAAGTTCTTGCTCTGTTGCCTAGGCTGGAGTGCAGTGGCACAATCACAGCTCACTGTAACCTCCAACTCCTGGCCTCAAGTGATCCTGTTGCCTCAGCCTCCCAAATAACTGGAACTACAGGCATGCACCACCATGCCTGGCTAATTTTTAAATTTTTTGTAGAGGCGGGGTCTCACTGTGTTGCCCAGGCTGATCTGGAACTCCTGTCCTCAAGCAGTAGTCCTCCCGCCTTGGCCTCCCAAAGTGCTGGGTTTATAGGTGTGAGCAACTGCACCCAGCCCATTGTGGAATGATTTTAGGGTCTACATCTTATTCTTTTGAGTAATTTAAGTGATGATGTAAAATTTCAACCATTTGGCTTTAGTGTACTGCCAAAATTCATTTTGCATCAGGACTTGAGAATAAACTGATCAAACCCAGTTAATGCTATTTTGTGTCCAAAGCCAAAGTATATTTATGAAGTAATAAAATTGATTTTTCTATGTGGTTTTAAACAGATTTTGAGAGTGATTCTAGAGAATTTCAGAAATGCATTGTGCAGTGGGAACATTGTTAGAATAAATGTATTACATCAATTTTGTTACTTTATAATCACACTCATATGCCTGGAGAATCATGTACCTTGTATATACACAGGCTCTAAAAATGAAATGTTCTCCAAGAGATAGTAAATTAGGTTAAGATTTTTTTGTTGTTGTTTTCTGTGGGAAAGGAGGACTGGAATTTTTTGTTTTTGTTTTTTGACAGTGAGAAGATACATAATAGTTTGAATTTTTGTTCATACCTTTTAGTCATCTTAACTGTGACCTTTATTGGGCAGGGGCATTGTGATATACAATATATTTATAATTTAACATAAAGAGTGCTGGAATAACCAAAAACATTAGAATATTTTCATTAAAAATTTGTGTAAACCGCATAGATAGAAGACAATTGCATATATTTGCTATCTTTAGAATGTCCTTCCCCTAGTGTTTTTAATCTTTGAAAATAATTGTTGGTTATTTAAAAAATATCTTAGTTTACGTTGACAGCTCTTTTATTAGTTAGCAATTTTGTTTTTGAACTTTCTAATTATACTAAGAAGTACTATGACTTTTTCTTAAATTCCCATTTTCGATGACCTTTTTAGTATCTCTCTAGTGACTTACATTTCTCTTCCTCCACCCAAAAGGGAAAATTGTAAAATGACTATTTTGAGAAATTAGCGAAGTTTTTGTCAGTTTAAAATGTGTAATGAAATATTTTGAAGAAATTATTAATGATATTGGTGTTCAAGTACAACTTATTGTGTTAATAAATTTGTCATTGTTTGAATTTTGTTTTGTCAACCAAAACCAGTAGTGAATGTCTGCTATTTATGGCCTCAGTTAATTTTATGATGCATGTTAAGCTTAATCTTTTTCATTGGGATTTTCATTTATAGAATTGGTGACACAGTAAATTCACTTTATAATCTATTATTAAAACTTTTCTTAAAGTAAAGAAATGACTCTTAACTAGCTAGTATATTTTATGAATTGATATGTTACCAATCTTAGTAAAAAATGTTATCTGTACTCTTAAAAAAGTAGTATTACATTTTAAAGATTAAAATAATTCCAGCAGTATTGCATTTATTGCTTATCTAAACAAATGTTGATGTGTTTGCATATTAAATATAATTGTGTTCTAGGTTAACTTCTCAGCCTGGTGCTACATTACCAAACGGACATAGTAGCTTATGTGAGTATTCTATTATGAAACTGGTTAGTACTGAAATTCTTTTAATGGTGTTAGAGAAAGCATTAAAGTGGGGAAAAATAGAGTGGTTTAATAGCATACTTAGCATACAGTTGGAAATGGCTGAATTTCAGCCACTGTAAAAATGTATGTAATCATTAACCTTTGAGAAATCATGATAACTGAAATGATTGAAATTATTATGACTATAAAACAGTTACAGAAATTTTAAAATATTGAATATTAAAGCCATTTAAGATGTTATATTCAACTTTTTGTAGTCTTTTAAAGAAATAAACTTTTAAGTTTTTTTTCTTTTCTTTCTTTTTGTACTCTGAAATGTAAAATATCTCTCTTCTTTTAGCTCTTCGAAACCATCCCCTTCGAGGGGAAAAGAAGGGAGATGGGGACCTTTCTTGTATGAATGGTGACATGGAAGTCAGAAAAAGTTGTCGATCCAGGAAAAACAGATTTGAAAGTGTGAACCAGAGTTTGTTATTTGATCAACTAGTAAATAGGTATGAATGCTTATGCATTAAGCAGTTTCATTTAATTATTTGAGTTTTAAGCCATGATGTTTTAAAAAAATAATGTAAGAACTGACTTAGCAATAAATATAGTTCTTTTAAAACTTAATTTGGATTAAGAATTGTTAGCAGTGGTTGTCAGTTTTTCAGTCATTATAATAGATTTAATATAATTTGTATAATAGCTAATTTTCTCATCTCTTTTAAGCTCTTGTTCATAGTTAGACAACATAATAAGTAATTTTATTGTATCTTCACAACTATAGTCCTTTGATACTTGCTCATTTAACATTTGGATTTTTGATAATTTTCAAACATTATGTTCCATTATTTTTTTTTTTATTTCAGCATATTATGGGGGTATAGATGTTTAGGTTACGTATGTTGCCCTTGCCCCCCACCCCCGCTAAGTCCGAGTTTCAAATATGTCCATCCTTCGGGTGGTGCGCATTGCACTCTTTGTGTATGCATATACCTATCCCCTCCTCCCTCCTCCCCCTTCCCCCCTCCCCCCTCCCCAACATCCAATAGATGTTATTCTTATATGTGCACTTATGTGTTGATCAGTTAATACCAATTTGATGGTGAGTACATGTGGTGCTTGTCTTTCCATTCTTGGGATTCCTCACTTAGTAGAATGCGTTCCAGCTCTATCCAGGAGTATACAAGAGGTGCTATATCACCATTGTTTCTTAAAGCTGAATAGTACTCCATGGTATACATATACCACATTTTATTAATCCACTCATGTATTGATGGACACTTGGGTTGTTTCCACATCTTTGCAATTGTGAATTGTGCTGCTATAAACATTCAGGTGCAGGTGTCTTTCTTATAGAGTATCATTTGGTCTTTTGGGTAGATGCCCAGTAATGGGATTGCTGGATCGAATGGTACTTCTACTTGTATCTCTTTAAGATATATGTTCCATTATTGAAACATAGTAAATAATAGTTTTGCTTAGTTAAGATTTTGAATTGAAGGTATTTTGATAATGGATATGTGGGAGTAAGTCTCTTAGCTAGTGAGTGAACCTAGCTGACTATCAGCTCAACATCTCCATCCATAAAATTTTATTCTTCTCAAATAATACATCGTCCCACTTAATCCTTACAATGGCCTGGTCAGTATAATCCCTGTTTGATAGGAGAGGAAATTATATTCTCTAGCAGTTACATCACATTTGGTATGTTATTTGTTAAATATTTAGATCAGTATCTGGATACATAGTAAATGTTATATAAACGTTTATTAAAAAGATAAAATAAAAATTCCTGAGTTGTTAGAATATATTTTTTGAATGTCAAATGTTCTCTAATTTCTAAAAATATCTGTTCATTAACCTTATATTGGCTTTAAGCTTCATAAATCTTTTTATTTATACAGTATTAACACCATCTTCAAATAAAAATACTGAATTATTTTTTTTTCAGTGTCATAGATCTGGTAATCAGTTATTTGTAGTGGCATTATGTATTTTGTCTTATAAACAAAAGCCTTATATTTCTAAAGTTTTATCTAAAATATATTAAGGTAGAAGATGTTCCGGTTTCATTTTTTTATTGGGCGTTGTCTTCTGATGGATGCTGGTTATGAAAGATATTTAATTGAAATAAGATATAAAAGACATGTAACTGTACATATCAGAGATGATTTAATTATGCTTTTGTGAAAATCTCTTACATGTATGACACAGTGTGTGGTCCCACCATTGTCTAAACCCTGCTTTTATTATATGACTGCAGTACTGCGGAAGCTGTGTTACAGGAAATGGACAACATCAACATCCGGCGGAATCGTCGATCCGGAGAAGTAGAACGACTTCGAATGTGGACAGATACAGAATTTGTGAGTACATTAACTAACAGCAATCTTAGCAGATGTTTTTTATAAAGGGAGAATGAGCAACAGTTGGATTTTTTTGAATTAGCACAATTGTTCTTTCCTCTTCATTTCCAACTTTGGGATTTTATTTTATGTATATTATATTCATACACACACACACACACACACACATATATATCTATGTGAATGAGAATCTAGCTCAGAGTAGAGTACAGTGGTGTGATCATAGCTCACTGCAGTGTCCAACTCCTGGGCTTAAACAGTCTTCATGCCTCAGCCTCCCAAGTAGCTAGGACTACAGGTGTGTACCACCACACCCTGCTAATTAAAAAAAATAGTTTTTTGTATGTTGCTATGAGAACATAGAAAATGTCTCGCTGTGTTGTCCAGGGTGGTCTTGAACTCCTGTTCTCAAGCCTTTCTCCCTCCTTAGCCTCCTAAAGCACTGGGATTATAGGTGTGAGCCACCGCACCTGGCCTGGTTTGGGATTTTATTGCTTGCTTTCTTCTTTGTAATTGTAAACACCTTGACCTTTATGACCTGGCTTTAGCTTTATCTTTTCACACACCATTGCCCAAATATAAACAAATCATTCTTGTTCCCATACCTTTTACTCCTGTTAATACTTCTGGTTAGCAGCTGCTACAATCTTACCTTTGTTTCAAGGTTCATTTCAAGTGCTTTCTCCCTTTCCCTCACTTTATAATAAGAGGAGAGTCTTCTCTTTGAATTTTAGAGTACTTTGTACCTCTCTTTGTGGGATTTAATTTCTTTTCTTTTATAATTACCTGTGACTTGTCTATATCCCTCCTACTAGGCTGTAATGAGTTTTATTTTTTTCCTTTTGTTCCTTACATTTATTGAATTCAGGAAGCTCCATTTTCATGAATCTGTGATCATAAATTTTACTGAGCAGGCATGTGCCATTGTGTTAGCATTGTTTATAGTGGAGAGTGAATACCATGTTAGTGTTTGACAGATTTCTCTCTTTAAAAGGAAAACATGGATATGTATTCAAGAGTGAAAAGACGAAGAAAGTCACTGAGAAGAAATAGTTATGGGATACAAAATCATCACGAAGTTTCTACAGAGGGTGAAGAAGAAGGTTTGTAAAGCACCTTATGAAATAAATGCTACAAAGTTCAGGTGGGAGGGAAGAAAAATAATATATACAAGTAATAATAAGTATAATAATTGCCAGGTGAGTGATTTTTGGATTTTGAGGACTATAGTGTATATTTGAAAGAATTTAAATTCAGTTGGCATTCTCAGTTTTTATTTCCTTCATTTGGAAAATGCTTATAACTGTTCATTATACATTTTGTAATGTATTTCGTGAATAGCCATTGATAATCCTTAAGTGATCTGGTGTGGCATTTGTCATGGGCTTCTTTGCTTGTTAGGTGAGGCCTCTCCTGTACTTAGGCACCTTCTAACTGGAAGGTTATTTTGCTATCCATAGTTAAATCTCTGATTATTTGGATCTCAAATTTAGTTATGGACTGAGTAATAAATGGTAAAGTTTAGAGAAAGAAGGACTGCTAGTACTAGTGGAGGAGGTTGTACTGTTCTTTTTTGAGGCTTGAGTTCTGAACTGAGGAGCCTAGACTGAATTTATAGGGCTTGAGCTGGGAACATGATGAAAGCACATTGGCCCTGTGGATTATAAATTGATGACCAGTACACCTAAAGGATTTAATTCTGTAGGCATTAATCTTTATTGAAATGGATTTTCAGATGATTGGTGTATTATAAATGCAGATTAGTAGTACTTTACAAGGGAATCTTACTAGTTCCCACCACTCGTGTAGCTTAAATAAAGAGTACATTTATTTCTCAGATTTTCTAGTTAATATTTTATTAGCCAGATTTGAAGAGCTGATATTTCTAATGAAGGTACTTTATTGAGCAAATATTATTATTGTTACAGCTAGAACCTCTATATTGCTTCCTTTGGAGAAAATCAGTATAGGTGAGACAGATTTATAATGGGATTTTTGCCTTTTTATTAACTGAACACTTTTGTAGAGTTTCCAAAGTAGATATGCCATATATAGAATTTTTGTTCATAATAAACTATGTTATTGTACATTTTTCAAAAATTAATGCTTTGAAGGTTTAGAGAACTTATTTGAAGGTATAAGAATTTTATAGTATTATTTAGATACATAATATCATATTTGTTGATTTTTCAAAAGTTAAAATAAGCTTTCATATGTCATGAGTAAAATGTAAATTCCTTTGCAGTCTTAAGTCTTCTACTTTCCCAAGCATCACTGGCAGCTTTAAATTTTTCCTTTGCCTTAGTATGATTGTGTTATATTGACAGTTCTTGTGGTTAAAAAGTTATACTCATAAAAAGTATATTGCATTTGAGGATCATATACCTATAAATTTTCATCAGACTTTTATTTTAACTATAAATAGTTATCACATCATAGCTATAGCCAATCCATTAACAAAATCTTTTAGGATTTATGTACATTATAACTTCTTAAGTGTATAGCTAGATGAATTATCATAAAGTGATCACTCATGTCAAGAGATAAACTGTTATCAGCACCTCAAAAGTCTGTTTCATGGGGGGGGCAAGGGCAACATATGTAACCTAAACATCTGTACCCCCATAAAATGCTGAGGAAAAAAAAAAAGTCTGTTTCATGATCCCTCCCAATTCCTACCTGCATTTTCCTACCAAAATGTAACTAATCCATGCTTCACTGTAACAAATCATTATAATGCCAACAAAAATTCCTCTTGTAACTCAGTAATTATACCTATAAGCCTATTTTTTTGAATTACCAAGGGGTATTTGAGTGCTACCCTTATTTAGCGGTTAATTGGGCATTGATTGAGGTCCACTGTAGTTTAGTAAACTTTTAAGTCTATCTTGATTATTGCTTTGTATTACCAAAGAGATTACAAATTCCTAAGTAAATCAAGAGACCAAATAGGATCACACTGATTTATTTAGCAGAGTATTGGTCATTGGTAGGAGAAGCATTTTATTTTACACCTATCTAGGTTGATTTTTAATAAAACGTTGACACTTAAATGTCACTTGTGCAGAAAGAGTAATGAGTAAAATGTAAATATTCAGTTCTAGAGTAGACCCATCCTTTTGGACTAAAAGTGCTTGCTTTTTTCTTTTTGTGTGTGGCAAACTAGAATCTCAAGAGGAGGATGGAGATATAGAAGTTGAAGAGGCAGAAGGAGAAGAAAATGATAGGCCGTATAACTTGAGACAAAGGAAAACAGTGGATCGATATCAAGCTCCTCCAATAGGTAGGTGACTCTGAATAACTTTTTTCCTTTTTGTAGTTAGGTAGCTCTATTCCTTTTAAAACGTTAAGATGCCGAGTTTAACAGAATGAAGTATTTTGTAGGTTCCATATACTGTTATCTTTTCCTACATGTATACTTATATGAATACACACACAGTTAAAAGAACGTTAAAGGACACAGTAGCAACATTGATTTACATAGAGCATGTACATTTTATTTATAGAAGCTTATATTTAAATAATACTGCTTATATTTTTATTGAGCACTTTCATTTACAGCAGTTCTTTAGGGCAAGGGGTGGGGAACCTATGGCTTTCTATTTTAATAAAATCCTTTTATTTTTATTAATACATTTTTGTTCATCTTTTATATTTTTATGTTAAAAACAAATCTAGGATTTGTTCTATAAAATTTGGATTCAGTCAAAAGGCCACACTTAAGGACCTAGAAGGCCACAGGTTCCAGTGGTACATGGCTGCAGTTTGGCCAGTAACTTAGTTTTTTTGGGTGGGTTAGGGGAGAAGGAAAAAGTTAAAAGTTTATTTTTTTTTTTTAGACAGAGTCTCCCTATGTTGCCCAGGCTGGAATGCAGTGGCTATTCACAAGTGTGATGATAGCTTGCTACAGCCTTGAACTCCTGGGCTCAAGCAATCCTCCTGTCTCAGCCTCCCTAGTAGCTGGAACTACAGGTGCCCACCCCACCACACCTAGCTCAAAGTTTATCTTAAGGCTGCCAAATCTAATGACAAGTAATTAGTTACTCAGGCAGTGCTTTTATTGACCTTCTTCCAGTTTTTGGAAAATTCCATCATTATTGATCCCCTCTAACTCCTTAAACTGAGGTATAACTCACACACCATGAAATTCACAATACTAATATGTACTATTCAGTGGTTTTTAGGGTATTTACAATGTTGTGCCATCGTCATCACTATCTAATTCCAAAACATAATCGTCCCTGGTATACTCTGGGTTCTGGTTTTAGGACCTCTCACATATACATACCAAATCCACACATGCTCAGGTCCCACATTTGGCCCTTTGGAGTCCCGTGTATACAAAGAGTCAACCCTCCATATACATGGATTTTGCCTCCTGTGAATACTGATCTCTGTTTGGCTGGAAAAAAGCCATGTATGACCCACATGGTTCAAACCCATATTGTTCAAGGGTCAACTGTAATTACTTGTGCTCCCTCCTTCTCCTAGCCTTTGGCACCACTAATCTACTTTCTGTCTCTCTAGATTTGCCTATCTGTGACTTTTTGTCTGGCTTCTTTCATTTAGCATAATGTTTCCAAGGAAAAACCTAGGCCCTACTCAAAATCTTATGTTCTAAAACAATGATTGATTCTCTGGAAGAGGTGTGTCAGAAGCTTGCCCAAGTATGCAGACATTCTTCTACTCCAGTTAGGAGTCTGTTACAGATAGACCTTTGACAAATGGAGGAGGCATGTTATGGCAGAAAAATGATTGAGAACGATTGTTCTAGATATTTTTTCTTAAGAAGGCTGTTTTGAGGTATAATTGAAAGAGTCCGTTGTACTTATTTATGTATTTCAAATATCTGAGAGGAGATTTTATTTCTCTCTGCACATATTTATAGTCTACAATTTGGCAAGTTTTGAAATATACCTTTGAAACTATCACCACAATCAAGAAGATGAACATGTTCATCAATCCTCCCCTCCAGATTTCCCTGTGCCTGTTTGTAATCTACTCCCACCCCTTCTTGTACTTCCTGCCTTCCAATCTCCAGACAGCCTCTAGTCTAATTTGCTTTCTGTCACCATAAATTAGTTTATATTTTCTTTATTTTTGTATAAATAAAATCAGATAGCAAATACTCCCTTTTTTTGTCTGACTCTTTGGCTCAGCGTTGTTATCGTAAGACTCATCTATGTTGTTGCATGTAACAATAATGTGTTCCTTTTTATCGCTGAGTAGCATTTCCTTATGGATATATCACAATTTTGTATCCATTCATTTGTTGGTGGACATTAGGATTGTTTCCAGTTTTTGGCTATTAAAATTGTTATGCCATTCACGTGCAAGTCTTTGTATGCACATATGTTTTCGTATTTCTAATAAATACCTAGGCGTGGAATGGCTGAGTGCTATGAGAAGGTATTTGTTTAACTTTCTAAGAAGTTGCCAAACTCTTTTCTAAAGTGGTTATAACATTTTCACTAAGAGTGTATGAGAGTTCCAGTTGCTACATATGCTTGCCAACACTTGATATGGTCAGTCTATTAATTTTAATAGGTATTATAATTTTAGTTTGTGTTTCCTTAATGGTGTTGAGCAACTTTTCATATGGTTATTTGCCAACAGTGTATCTTTGGTAAAGTATTTGTTCAAATCTCTAGCCCATTTTTTCAGTTGGGTTGTTCGTTTTCTTACTGAGTTTTGAGATTCCTCATATATTCTGGATTTCAGACCTTTAACAGATATATGATTTGCAAATATTTTCTCCCAATGTGTGGCTTGTTCTTTTTATTCTATTAATAGTATCTTTTCAAGAGCAGAAGGTTGTAATTTTGATGAACTACATTTATAAAAAAGTTTTTTAATTGTATTGTGCTTTTGGTATTGTATCTAAGAAATCTTTGTCTAACTCATAGTCACAAAGATTTAAGTTGATATCTGTTTAGGATTTTTATTTGCAACTTCATAGTATTACTACAAAACTTTTTGTTGTGGTTCTAGACAGCATTTAGAACTTGAAGACACATGACTAGGTTCTATTCAGAGGGTTAACAGAAGTAAATTCTCTCCTTTAATACATTAATTTATAAATTTATTATTATTTCTCTGTCATTCTTTTTTTTTTCTTTTAGTACCAGCTCATCAAAAAAAGAGGGAAAACACATTGTTTGATATTCATAGATCTCCAGCAAGAAGAAGCCATATTAGGTAAGTTTTGTTTGCTTTTGAAAGGAGGACATATTTGCATTTGTCAATGAGAGATTAATTGCATCTTTCTTTCTTTAATTAGTGACTAATAGTTATTATCCTACATGTGACTGTTATCTTACTGGAATATTTATAGTTGTAACAGTTACGTTCCCTAAAGCTACACAGCTTTCTGGTCTCTTGGTAGAGTTGAATCTAAGTGACCTATATTACTTTGATTTGAAGCATTGATTCAGTTAGTCTTGATATTTTTTCCCTCAAATGTCCTTTCTTTTACATAGAAATACAAAGGAAGTTTTAAAACTTTATCTTATTTCCTTAAAAGGTAATTCTGAGAAACAATTTTCTCTACTCATACAACATTCTGACTCTAAATGTGTGGGATTTTCCCACACCAGGCAATTCTTCAATTCTTCTGGACACCAGCTAGGTGTGCAATGATTGAACTCAATTAATCGTGACACTCTTTAACTGAATTTGTATCAGATCCCACGAATTAAGGGCTCAGTCACATAAGGCTGCCCTCACTTCCGATGCCAATTACAAGTCTGGGCCTTCTGTACTACTGATGCACTGCTTATAAATCGAGGGTTCCTATAACCCCCTCCTCAGGTGTGATATTTGCTAGAATGGCTCATAGAACTCTGGGAAACACTTTACTGTTTTACTTTACTGGTTTATTATAAAGGGTACAACTCAGGAACAGCGAGATGGGAGAGCATAGGGCAAGATAATCAGGGAGAGACTGAAGGTATGCAGAGCTTCCATACCCTTTCTGGGCATTCTACCTTCCCAGCACCTCAGTGTGTTCACCAACCCAGAAGTTTAACATATTTCATTGTTCTAGATCTTTTATAGAGCTTAATCTCTAGCTCTGGCTCCCTCAACTGTACACCCCCTCACCCCCGCCATCCCCCCCTTGATGAGTGGAGCCGAAAGTTCCAACTAATCACTTGGTCTTTCTGGTGACTGGTCTAATCCTGAGGCTATCCTAAATCATCTCATTAGCATAACCTCTGGTGGGATCAAAAGGGGTTCTTTATCACTAACAGCAGACACTACGGCTCTGGAAATTTCAAGGGTTTTAAGAGCTCTATGCCAAGGATGGGGGACAAAACCCACATATATTTCTTATTATACCATGGCTCCAAAACAGAAATTAAAAAATGAACATGCAAAGCTTTGTTCTACCCTTAGTAGTCTCTCACTCTCACAGTAACGTTGCTCTTAGTTTGTGTAACTTCAAAGAATGCATGGGCATATGTGCACACATAAATGCATATGCAAATACGAATATGTGTTGGTGTCCCTTCTTTTTACACAAAATATACTGTATACACTGTTCCACAATTTTTTTCCACTTAATTCATTTCAACTATTTTTTCAGCGTGTAATGAAATTTCACATTTGTGTTAGAGTTGTGTAATACTACATTTATGGATATACTATAATTTTTTAACTAAGACTTTATCTATTTGCAGAAGTTCTTTATAGAATAGATTAGTTCTTTGTTGTATAATTTGCCACTCCCCTTCCTTCTCCCAGTTTGTAGTTTGTCTTTACATTTGGTTGTCTTTATTTATTTATTTATTTATTTTTGAGGCAGAATTTCGCCATTGCCCGGGCTAGAGTGCAGTGGCGTCAGCTTAGCTCATAGCAACCTCAAACTTCTGGGCTCAAGCGATCCTCCTACCTCAGCCTCCAGAGTAGTTGGGACTACAGGCATGTGCCACCACACCCGGCTAATTTTTTCTATTTTTAGTTGACGGACTAATTTATTTCTATTTTTAGTAGAAATGGGGTCTCGCTCTTGCTGAGGCTGGTTTCCAACTCCTGAGCTTAAGCCATCCTCCCGCCTTGGCCTCCCAGAGTGCTAGGATTACAGGCTTGAGCCACCACGCCCGGCAAAAATTTTATTATTTTTATGTCTTTATTATGCAAAACCTTTTTCTTTTTATGTAGTCAAATTTATCAGTCTTGTCTTTTCTGGCTTTTAGATTTTTGAGTCTTAGTCAGAAAAACCTTCCCAAATCCAATGCTTTAAAGGAGTCTACCCTTGTTTATTTCTGTACTTTTATTTTTTACTCTGAAATTTTTGATCCATTTGAAAGTTATCCTGGTGTAAATTTTCCAGTACAGATCCAACTTTTTTCCCAGATGGAAAATAAATTGTCCTAGCCTCATTTATCGAATGTGTCTGTGGTTTCTCCCCTGATTCCAGTTGCCTCCTGTTTTGTTTCGGCAGTGTTTCTGAAGAGCTGGGAAGCATTAAGAACTGTTGCAGAATGAAATGAAAGGATTTGATTAGTAAGCAGAAGGAATAGTAGGTGTGTTAAGGATCTTAAGAAGAGTTGAGAAAATCTGGGTTGCTGATGAGAATAATGGGCATTCAAGTGGAGTAGGGATGCACAGATTGTGGGACATCTTTGATGGTAATTTGAGTTTGAAGCAAATTAATCAATGATTCCAGCTTGGATGATTGTATGGATTTTCATTAGTGTGCTCAGCATTCTGTTTTTATTACTTGGATTGGTACAGGGTTAGAGTTTAGTGATTATAATGGAAGAAAAAGGTGACAGAATCAATTACATGGGAAGATTAAAGAGTGGATATATCTTACTGTTGAGACTTGACAGAAAACTAAGACAAGAAGGGAGTTGATAGGTTATGAGTAAATGGGTGCCCAGGAGCGGTAGCCTCTAGTTGGAGTGAAAGTTGACATATTAGGAGTTTATGTTCAAAGAGTACGTCATTCAGTTTCAAGATTACAGAGTTAGCGAGCAGTTTATGTGATAACAAGACCCAAGTAATGTGGTAAAAGGACCGTGGGGGTGTTCTGTGAAGCTTAGGTAGTGGTGGAGAAAAAGAGAATATAAGGGATATCTATAAGGAGTATGGATAGGACTCAATGGCAGTTAGAAGTGCTAGGGGAAAGGGAATTTAGGATGATTTGGTTTTTTTTTGGCAAATTACTGTTTAGTTGAACTGCTAACTGAATATACAATTTAAAAGAAGTGGTTGAAGAATTTGATTTGGGGATCATGAACCCAATTTGGACATGTTGAGGGGACATAATTTGGTGTTGGTTTTATTATGTTTTTTGGGTATCTTAGAGATGTCATGAGTTATATTAATAACGTAGCATTCATTAAGTACTGTTTCTCTTTTGGGATGACTTTAGCCTGATATATTATCTATCTAACCATTCCATAGTAGTTCTGATTATAAATTATTTCTGGCCGGGCGTGGTGGCTCACGCCTGTAATCCTAGCACTCTGGGAGGCCGAGGCGGGCGGATTGTTTGAGCTCAGGAGTTCGAGACCAGCCTGAGCAAGAGCGAGACCCCCGTCTCTACTAAAGACAGAAAGAAATTAGCTGAACAACTAAAAATATATAGAAAAAATTAGCCAGGCATGGTGGCGCATGCCTGTAGTCCCTGCTACTTGGGAGGCTGAGGCAGGGGGATCGCTTGAGCCCAGGAGTTTGAGGTTACTGTGAGCTAGGCTAATGCCACGGCACTCACTCTAGCTGGGGCAACAGAGTGAGACTCTGTCTCAAAAAAAAAAAAAAAAAAAAATTCAAACAGGGCAGAAGTGTTGTAGGTGAGAAGTGAAAGCCCGTGAAAGCCCTTGTTTTTCTTAGTTCTTTAAATGTCTGGCCTATTTTTGATTATATGGAAAAGAGAATAAAAAATGAAAAAGACAAGCTTTCTTTTCTAAGATTCTAATGTTATTTATCAAACAGTGACATACCTGATTTGGATACAAATTAAATTGGTTACGGACTCCCTTCCTGATTTACCCTATTTAAAAAAATTTAGGGTTCCTATTTTTCTTTTTCTCTGAAGTTACTACCTTTTAATCCATTAGGTGTAAACTATATGAGGGCAACGATCTTAATAAATATTTGCTGAATGAATTTTCTACTGAGTTAATTATAGATGTGATGTTTACAATGTGTTTTTAAAAGCCATTTGCTACTATAATGGTTTTAAGTATTTTGCTCTCTTTAAATAGGAGAAAGAAGCATGCCATTCATAGTAGTGACACTACTTCTTCTGATGAAGAACGCTTTGAAAGAAGGAAATCAAAGAGCATGGCAAGAGCAAGAAACAGGTTAGTTAATGTTTTAGTATCATTTCCATGATAGAAAAAAGGACGAATAGTTTCTGTTTTTGTTTTCGTGTGAGTTTTTTACCTCTACTGGCACTTTGCTAACATTGATATTCAATACACATTTTAGACTAAAGTAATGCACAGACTTGGTTTTTACTTAAATTCTTAAAACAGAAATCTAACCTTGGGAAATTTTACCAGAATTACTTATTCTGTAAGTACTTATAATAAAATAACATGTGGAGAGGTAAAAGAGCCAAGGGGAAGGGAGAGGCCAACCTATATGGCAGCATCTGTCTTTTCTTCCGTATCTCCTCTGTAATCCAAATCCGTGTTATAAGGCTGATTTTAGGTATTTATAATGGTTATAGTATAGCACTCAGAGTAAGATATGGTTTCTAATAGAATTATCTCAGGAGCTCTTGGAATTTTGTTGGAAAAATTTGTTTTAATGTTGGTTGAATGAATGCCTCTGGTAATCTTTACCTAACTAGAGCAAATGACTGGTTACTATGTGGCTCACTAAAGCCTCCAGGAATTTTCACCAGGGGAGAGAATCTGTATTTGTCTAGTAAATAGTGAGTGTTGAATGTATCTGTTGTAGAAATACCAAGTTTTCAGTTAGCAGGTCTTGGAAATAAGATTGGATTGGTAAATACTATATGCTAAAAAAGAATTCCTTTGGCCAGGCGTGATGGCTCACACCTGTAATCCTAGCACTTTGGGAGGTTGAGGCAGGAGGATTGCTTGAGGCCACAAGTTGAGACCAGCCTCAGCAAGAGCAATACCTCATCTCTACAAAAATAGAAAAATTAGCTGGACATGGTGGCATGCACCTATAGTTCTAGCTACTTGAGAGGCTGAGGCAGCCCAGGAGTTCAAGATTGCAGTGAGCTCTGA